CCCCCCCCACCCCCCAAAAAAAAAGTTTGGTTTTAAAAACTATTTTCGATTTCAAAAATTATTTTCTACTCTAGTAAAAATAAAAGATATTTCTCAAAAATATTTTTCATTCATAAATCAAACACTAAAAATCTTTTCCGGAAAATATTTTCTACTCACCAACCAAACATGAGAAAATAAGTCAAAAATCAACTTGTTTTCCAGGAAAACATTTTCCATGAAAAACATTTTCCTTCGTACCAAACACACCCTTGATGATCATATAACTTCCAAATTATATTAATATAATCATGTTCATAAAATTATTTGATATTTAATTATCTTTATTTTCCTTACTTTCATGATTTTTAATGATCACAAATCCTAAATTATGTTAATAGTCATGTTCATGATATCATTTAATATTTCATATTGTTATCTTATAATTAAAGACATTATAAAATTTTAATATAAACATAATAAAACTTATATGTATACTAAAATTAGAGATCATATATAATTTATTTAAATCTCTTATTGTTTAAGAAAAAAATTAAATTCTTTGTGTGAATTACATATAAACATTTCTATTATTATTACGTAATAATTAAAAATGACCAACTCCAAAAATTGTATCATATAAACAATTAAAAGAACATAGTTGATACCTCAATGAAAAATATGGAAGAAGAAAGAAAGAAAAAGAGAAATCTAATATTATATGCTATTGCACTTTCCATCCAAACAAACTATATGCATATAATTTATACAAAGTGTAAGCATATAATTTAATTTATTAGAAATAATGAACATTTATTTTCTAATCGGTTAAGGAAGAGAGTGGATGTTGACTAATGTGGAATTAATATATAGTACATAAATTAATAAATAAAAAAAGAGAAAAGTTAAACACAATAACGATAAAAGCCAAAAGCAGGAGAAGAGATATAAATAACATCAATATATATATATTTATAAAAGTGACGTGACACCTCTCAATGGCCAAAAATCCTATTTATCTTTTTTTTTTTGTGATTTTTTAAAACATTTTTTTCAATTATTTTATTTTATAAAATCATCTTCTTAATTCATACCTCTTCAATTACATAAATTTAAATCTTAATTAATTTAGCAATGTCTATAACTCCTAACCTTTCATATTCATAACCTTCAAATATTTAATATACAAATTTACAACTCCTTAAAATGACACTTATAAAAACCTATTTTGAGACATGTATAATCATTACCAAAATAATATTGTAATAAAAGGAACAATTGTATTAGTGTTGTAAAAATTTATTCAACTCTTGGTACTTTTTCTACATCTTCGTCGTTGCATACACGTATTCTTTTTTAAAA